AAAACAGAGTGACTCCACAGAGCTAATTTTAAGAATGGTTAGTCTGAACGCCATTATACTTTTGTTATGTGGTACGTCACGAATCAAAGGGCTTCTGAGGGAACAGCTTTCTTGAACTTCAAGCTTTGTGCAAAGCGCAGGCTCAAATTTGATAAGAGGGTCTCCAATTTGAAGTGGTTGTTTTCTTGCGTATGAGCTATGCAGACTTGTCTCCTTCTTTCTTCTTCTGCAGAAATGTTTTTAGGGACTTGATGTACACATCGGAAAGGCACACCAGTCTTAGTAAACAGAGAACCTTCTAGGCATAAGGCATATCAGATGTTGGCGCTGTTGTCAACTTTCTCTAGCAATTGACAAAATTAACTAAACATTATGGCTGCAGTCCTTATTTCTTATTCTTTTCCCATTGGAATCCTTTAAACTTTCTTCTGCATAAACATAGTTCAAGTTGGGCTATAAGCCTATATTCGGATAAGACAAATGGCCCAAGTTTGAGCTGATCTTCTATTCAGTAACAGAAGCAGCATTTCAGGTATTCTAGTTAACCAGTTTTAAGTTACTGTGCCATAAAGTTTTGTTTCCTGTTAAGCCTTTCCTTTCAAGAGTTCAAAATAAACATCTGAAAATTATATTAAAATTAGCTAGTTGCTAATTTAAAAGAAAACAAAACTGCTTATTATGGACTAGATGCTGTATTGGGATTTCCCAAGTATTGCTGGTGTGCTTGTCCCTGCACAGCTTGAGTTTACAGAAGCCATTGTAGAAAAGGACTACCATAAACACTTGGCTTATTTACTAAGATATTTCAAATATATTTTTCTTTCAGGTGGTGAGGAAGAATAGATAATTATGAAACTATGTAAGGTTTCATTTTAAAAATCCATCTATGAAGCAAATACATCTTTATTTTCAAATCCCAGATAATGTTATTTCATTACTGTAGAAATGTTCACATAATTCATGTATTTAAAAAGTTCTGTATTATGTAGAATCCTGTTGTACTGCTTTGAGCTTGGGAAATCATCCTGAAGAGCAATTCTCACAGAGGACTAGTCACCTGGAAAACATCAACTTTTAAAGCTCTGCTGTTAGAGGAATAATAGATGTGTCAGAGTGAGGTAGAGAGTAGGGTAATGTGGAAGTAGAAGCCTTTATAGCAGACTAGAAATATTTTTCTACCATTGCTCAATTCAAAAATGCATGAATGGTTTTTGCTTAAGCTTCCTACATACATAAATAAATTCACCTTTGGGATGAGAATGGAAAATTTCAGCCAAAGAGAATAATTTTGCAGAGTTATGAGCATGTGAAGATGATTAGTACAATAGAAGTCTGTATGTTACTGCAATAATAACTTTGGGAGGCAAGAGGAAGGTACCGCAGTGTATTATATTCCAATGGTAAACTGACTGACAGAAGCCAATTCGTTAAGTTAGAATTGCACTGGCCATTTTCCTAATTGTTGTAAGCAACATAATCATTATGGCACCCTGTAAAGGGTCAGCTAGAAACCACCGAGATGACAAAATTTGTCATTCACGTAAATCAGTGCCCCTTACCGTAGCCACCTTCCCCAGGTCTTTTAGATCAACAGTGTGGGTACATCAGAGTAGAATAGCTCATTCTTAAAATGCCCCAACACATCCACAATATCAATGATCCTATAAGAATCCTCAACTTTGAATTAATAGCTGTAGAAAATAGAAAAGCAGTTCCCGATTTTTTAAGCAACAGGGAAGGTGGGGAGGAGGTGGAGAGAAAACTGAGAAAAAAAAGTATAAATGTGTCCCATCCTTTTTCAGTCCTTGCCTGTGAAATGTGTAGTAAAGAGATTTTGAGTAAGATCAAAGAACACTTTTGACAGCCATCTGATCCAAGGTTGCCTGTATCCACCCGTTTCATCCTTGTAACATACTTCCCTGAAGTTTTTTGGCTCTTTACAGTGAACACAAGTGTCATGTAAACAGGGGTGGCAACATCAGAATATCATTTCTAGTTAAGGTTCCTTCATGTGACACACTGGGAGCACCAATGCAACATATTCTTAGGGGGTCCATGCAACTTCCCCAAGTCTGTCTTAGGAAAAGACCATGACCCTGTATCTTCCCTCTCATACAACGGATGAGGCATGCAGCTAATTAATTCCAGTGCAAGTTGTCTTCCTATGGGTCATCCCACATTTTTCATACTCCCCAAATCCTGCTTTGTAAAAACACTCCAAAAATATCCTTGCCCTGACTATTTGCATTTTGCTTTCCCGTGAAATTCACAGCCCCACAATTAGCTTCTTGCCGTAGGCCAAGCTTTTTTTTATGACGATTTGGCTGAAAACTTCCAGTGTTTGCCAAGGTACACACACATTTACAACAGTATCCTGAGGATCTCCCAATCCAAACTGTGTAGACGGAAATGTTTTCCAACATTAAAATAAGTTTATAACAAAGCTATAGTAATATATACAAGTAAATTAGAAATGTACAAAGTAGGCAAGGTCTCATCATGTTTCACATTTAGCCCTTTCTACGCAAAGCTCCTGCATAGCGATTTCTGCAGAACTTCACTTTTCCTGCCAGTTTGGAGTCTCTTTGTGGCACCAGTTAAGTAGAGATGCTTGATTTTCTAAACCTAAGCAGTTTTATCTCACTCCATTGATGATGTTGAGAATCTGAAGCTATTTGAGCACTGTATGCTATGTTTTTCTTTTCCAATACTACATCTCTTTCTAGGCATCAATTAGAACGTCCTTTTAATGTTAACCATCTTTTTCTCCTCTCGATAAAAAACAGATAGGCATATATTGTGCCTGGTTATTTTCCTCTCTCCCTTTCATTTCTGGAGTTTTGCTTTAGATGTCTGCCATCTTTGTAATCCTGTGAGATTTTACAAGGTTAGACACAACGATTGCTGTATCCTGTCGGTCTGTTTTCTACTAAACACTGTCCAAGCAAAAAATACTTGGAATTACTACTACTACTATTATTATACAAAATACTTATGATAGTTACTCAGTTATGCAAAAAAAAGAAAAAGAAAAAAGGGGGGGGGTTGTTTCTGTAGCTGAGGCAGAGGCCTACCTTTCCTCTTAGTACTAGTAGAATTTTGCCACAAACTTAAACAAGGTTTCTTTGACGATCCATTGATTTCAGCAGAATTTACGTCCAAGTAAGCATGCTTAGAATCGCAATCTATCTCCACAATTCTAAATACGCTTACTTGAAAATAAGTCCCATTGATTGAGATGGAAGTTAACACAAGTTCTTAGGAGGCAGTTGATTTCTTGGAGAATCCTTAAAGAAAACTGAAATGCCCGTCTCTTAACATGGTTACACACTTGTACAGACATGAAAATTTAACTAAGGAAACTATTACAACTGAAACTAGTTAGGACATTTACCAAAGGTGAGTAATACCTAGAGGCCTGATCCCATGTACATCTCCTTGTTGGAAGTAGATCCTAACAATTCAATAGGGCTGCAACCTGTATAAACGTGCCCAGCCTACAGCCAAAGGAACCAGTTGTGGCATGAGCTTTCATAAGCAGGAGTTTACTTTGCCAGATGCTCCGGGAAAGAGGATTCATGACACTGGTCTTTAGCATAAACATGCAACTTTCAGCATACTTTGGCTTCTGTGTGACAGCAGACTTGCCTTACCCTACAGCTACAGGCAGGCCTGGGAGTCATATCGACATGTTGGAGGAAATCTACTCATAACAGTTCATCTGCTTCTTCTCGTTCCGTAATGTCCTTTTTCTCTCCATATTGCTTGAGGAGAGGGAGTTTGAAACTAAAATACAGATCATGGCAGCTGCGTACAGAGTTTTGAAAACCATCTTGTCTGATTGAGTTTTCTAATCGAATAAGAAGTAAGACAATCGATAGGATGATCAAGAGATTGAAAGCTATAATTTTAAATATTTTTTCTGTGTGAATTGTAGTAAGGACTTTTTAATGGGTTAAAAATGGATTTTCTTACACCTATGAAGCTTTCCTGAATTATAGCAGCATTTGTCACATACTACTGGTATCTCTTATACCTGCAAATAATATTAGACTATTAGAACCTTAAAAATCTAAGTTAGTGTTAAAAGTACTGATTATTAAATCAACATTTGCAAGCATACCCAGTCACTCATTTTTCATTTTTAGGATAAGTCTTTATCCAGAACTGATAGTCTGCAATCCTAAGTGTGTTTACTCAGAAGTAAGCTCCATTTTGGTCAATGGGGTTGCTTCCAGGTAACTGTACATAGGCTTGCAGTTTAAGCTGATTTAGAATTGGCAAGACAAGCATGAATTCCTTCTTGCTGTTAGATACTAATGCATAAAACGAGAGCCAAAGTGGGTGCATGACAAAATGACTGGATTTTTTTCTTAGGGGAACTATTTCATCGCATCATTCTTTTTTCAGATAGAAATTTTAAAGTATAATGATAGAGAACAATCACCAGCAAAGCTTCACAAGCTGTTATTGAATCATAAATCAACCTTTACACTACTTGGGAAACAGCAGCATGGCACAGTGCTTGCTTGTTCACAAGCTCAGTTTTCTTCCAGAGATCGCAAAATAGAATAACTACTTTCATTAAAAGCCAAGGCTGTTTTCGCCATTGGATTCAACGGGTCAGGATGGCAGATTCCGAGCTTTGTCCACAAGGTGTATTTTATCAATTAATACGTGATGATTAGTTTATAAAATTATTCTACAGAAATAGTTCTGGACATAAGCAGACAGATACACACACAGACTCGGACGGACACATACATAAACACAGCAAAATTTGGCTGGCGGTTGTAACACTTAAAGAAAATATGTAGCAAATGCGCATGGGGTTTCAAAAAATGGTGGGCATGTTAGAATTGGTGACAGAATTTAAGAGCGGATGTTACATCTATTTAAAGGAGCCAACTTTCCATCCCCACTCCATGGCAGTGCAGCGTCAATGCTTCTTCGGTCTACAGAACATTTTTTCGAAAGTGCTTTTGCTGCACCCAAGCAATTCAACTGGGTTGAGAGCGGGGGGGGGGGGGGGGGAAGAGTTGCTGTAGAGAGAGAGCACATGTTACATCAGACACAGTACCTGATTTTTCAATGCACAGCTTGTCAGCCAGAAAGTCTGCCTCCTGGGCGATAAGTCGGAATATTTCATCTTCATACTGTTCTATGATAGTTTCGCACTGAAAGGGGGGAAAACAGTTGCTTTCTAGCAAGGAACTAAACAAGACTGTTTACACAAATCAGCAAAGGTGTGCAGCATCAAGAAGCCTATTTGGGATTGTCTGCTCAGGCAGCATCTTGAGCAATTGTTCAGCTTTCTCCCCTTAATAATTAACAATATACTGCGATTACAATATATGCTAATTCAGCTTCCATTTTTCAAAAAAGAGACACTACCCCTTCCATTGTGAGCTGTTTTTAAAAGATCCCCCTTTTAAGATTGTGCACGCTTCTGCTTAATGAAGGCCATTTTCATGACAATATTATTGGCTGGAATTATTTGAAACAAATGATAGCTCCTGTATATTTGCCGTGCCATTTATAGCTGTGTGTGTGTGTGTGTGTGTGTGTGTGTGTGTGTGTTTTCACACACGCATGCACATACACACACATGTAAGAACATATACATCTTTCACTGATGGACAGAGTTTTGCTAGTTTTCCTTTTTCCCAAAATGCCAAACACAACCAATGACTTCAGATGTTTTAAGCCACAGGTGCTTCCCTTGTAAAATCTTTTGGGTGGCAGTCAGTAAAGCTTTGCTCGGCCATTTTGTCCACGAGTTATGGGTGCAAGTTTCTGCATCCAAACTCCAAAGTGGATCACACCAATGGAGGAAATGGCCCTAAGATGCTTTTAGAAATAGCAACAAAAACAGTTTTATTCAGGAGCCCAAAACTACCTCAAATGGTATCCGTTTTTGCCCAGCTTCGAATCTTAGGGGGAAATTGGGGGGGTACAATACAATACAAGAGGTTCAGTTTTGGCATTTAAATTAGACACTAAAGATCTTGAAACGCAAAAATAGCCTTTAACATCTTACGAAAGGGAAAACCAGTGCAACTAGGTCACTAAGTATATTACTGATTTTACTAACAGGCTTGATGATGCTTTAAATAGGCTAAATTACATTTGAACCCTAGACCTAAATATATTAGTACTTAGAAGTAAATGTTTTGGAAACAACAGGGTTTGCTTTTACTAAACAGGTTTTGAATTCTGTTGTAAATCTCTCACCAGCTGTTCTTCCTTTTGATTTATATACTTAAACAAAGAAATAGTGAGTATTCCTTTAAGTGTAATGATGACAGACGTATAAAAAATATCTGTTTGTTCATGAAGGCACAAACTGATGCTAGGCCGTTTCGAGGCTCTTCCCTTTTGCTTCAATGGGCTCTAGGCCCCTGTTCTAGCTCGGCTTCTGTAAACACTTTCAGAAGGCCCAATGCAAGGGAGAGAGGGATACCTCTCCTTTATCCTTCTGAAAAATAACAAATATATATGGCATTTCCTGTCAATGTAGTTAACCTGACACCATCCTTGTCCACCACTTACAAAAGACAGCTTTAAAGCTATTTCCTTGGTCCCTATTCGTAGCACTGAAAAAATAATTGCCAGTAAAGCGATGGAATTTACTGTTGTTTTAAAAAGGTATTTATGAGAACAATAGCACAGAAACTGAGCGTTAACAGCATCTGCTGGTCAACTTAGGCTGCAATCCAATATGTACTTACCTGGAAGTAAGTCCTGTTGAAGCCAAAAGGACTGGCATCTGACTACTAGAAATTCGTAGGATTGCACTGTAAAATGTCATATTGCCGAAAACTGAGTTCTGGTATGCCATGGTGTTCTACCTCCTGTAAACCATGCCATGCCATTTATTATTAAAGACAAACTAGTGCAGAGCCTGCTAAACATAGTAATATCATAAAAGCTATGCGTTTATGCTCAAGTGATTTAATGCCAAACATTATGCTAATGGCAATTCATCCTGAAATGTCACCTATTTATTATGTTGTCTTACCGCATATTTCAAGGGCTTATAAGCATCAGAATAAAAAAAGTATTTTTTATATAATGGATAGATTTCATCATCCTTCCTGGGAGCATATCTCTTGAATATCTTTTTCTTAGTAACCGGGTCATCTTGAAGTTGATAATCATTCATCCGATCACATATGTTTTCCAAAATGTCTGTTAAGAAGGTCTCCGATTTAGCAAACGGAATCTAAAAAAAAATGAGAAAAATGTAAGATAGACACACATACCTATATAAGATGCACACACATATTTAAATTTTCAAATGCCACAAAAGCAGAATACTGCAGGCATATATAAGCACAGGATTCCTGACACTGATCAAGAAAACAAATTCATGCTACCAGATCTCCATAGCTGCTTAATTGTTGGCCCATATTATATAACATACATAATTAGAAATTTCAGCAGAATCTAAAATGACATCTGGAAAAATTGCAGATCTAAGGCTCCCACAAAAACAGGCTTTTTGTGCCATTGCAAGTGTTCCGATTATTAAGCACATTCTGCTATGGAAACAAGAGAGAAATAAAGAGAAGAGACGCCTATTTCCAGTCAACATTTTCTCAAGGCGACCTCGAAAGATTTCTTGTTAGGAGTCAGCTTGGTTTCTTCAACTGGAGCGGAGTTTCTGGAAAGTCTCTCTGCCTCCCCCCAGCCCCCTCACCCGGCTCTTCACTTGGTTTGTCTTTCTCGCAGTTCGTCAACTCAGATGCAGCTGCTTAATGCCTCCCAGGGGTTTGCGCAAAGAAAATAATCGCTTACACAATTTAACTTCTCCCAGGTTCTACTATTTCAAGCTTTATTCACAGACAGCTGGTCCATGTCTTTGCCCATCCCTCTTCTTTCGGAATTAAGGAAGAATTTGCAGGAAGCATTTAGCTGCTACCTACACGCCTAGCGAGGGTCTGAACAGCCAGTGCTCCCAGGGGTCAAAGAGCACCCCTCGCCCTTGGAAACAGGGACAAAAAACTTCTCTCCCGTCTAGACAGGTCAAGGTGCAAGATGCGCCTATCCCTGTTGCTTCTTCCGGAAGGGGGCGTGAATTGCAGCCAAGTGCACAGTAAACAACGGGGCTGCATCCTTGGCCCCTTGGAAGCGCCCCTCCACCCTCCGCTGATCAAAGTAGGAAGTTATCATGACAACCATAGTCAAAGGGGCTGAATCACAAATGAACTCAATTTCTGCAATGTTGATATATCCAGGCTCCATTGTCTCTTTTCAGACGCAGTATGAACCCTTCCGGTCGCAATGATTACATTACAGAAGCACTTTCATATGTGCGCGCCATTTGCACAAAGGGGTGCCTTGCTTCACTACCATCTGGCTACAAATCAGATAAATAAAGGCAGGAGAATTAAAATTAAAGCTTGGAGTCCCTTCCCTCCCCCTCCCCCTGTACGCTTGACACCCCACCTCCTGCGCTTCTTAAGCTAGGCCCTCTCTTATGCGACTTTTCTTCCTCTAATCTCATTCTCTCTTCGGATGTGGAATCTGAACTTTATGGAAACTGGGAAAACCAAAAAGGGGAAGCCTCACACCTTAGGACAGGGGAAATGTAGATAATTTAGGTTTGGGGTTTTGTTTTTCAGATGTTGGATGCAGATTTCAGGCACCACAGTGCAGGCCAAATTATAAATGAAATGGGTCTTCATGTATGTACATGGAAATTCTATTTCTCTGCCTACACACACAGCATAGCATACTTCTGAAAAGATGAAGGGGAAATACACCGTCTGGTGCCACTTCCTCACCCATTATGACATGGGGTTAAGAAGCCACATATCCTGGCCTTATTTGGAAGTCAGTTCCCTTGATCTCGGGGAAACTGACTTTCTTAGGCTTAGTTCAAGTTGGACAAAATACAAGGCGATATTCACATGTTTGTTTGTTTTTCTGAAAACTTTGCATCTTTTAGGGAAAAAAAGTATCTTCGTTCTTCAGCATAAAATTTAAGTCTCAGACTTAGGGACTCAGTTGAAAAGGCACATGATACAGAAATATAATGAATGTTAAAGTTCAGGGAGATGGAACACAGCTTGACTGTACCATCTTGTCACGGTCGTGGTTGCAGACTGACAGAGAGGTAAGCGGAGCGCGTTGATTTCAGTGCTTCAGCATGCTTAACTGCATGTTCAATTATTGGTATAACATACTTAACGTTAATAAGAGCAATCCTAGACACACTTTCCTGGGAGTAAATCTATTTGCGTTCAATGGGACTTACTTCTGAGTAGATATACATAGGATTACACTGCATATGAACTTCAGTATGTTTAAACAGAAATGGGGGACAATTAATTATGATAGGCAGTCATTTAAAATTAGGTACTAGTTGATCATGAGAAGTCTTAATAACAAACAAACACCTTGTTATGTTTTCATAACAGCGGGTTGGCTATTTTGTTAAGCTTTGGTGGGAAAAAAGTCATTTTGGAGGTTACTCCTCTGTTTTCTGGTTGCTTATATCTAATCAATAAAAGACACTGGGGTATCCAAAATACATCTTATGTAAGGAGTCAGTATGACAACCCTTCATGAACTGCTTTGGGCCAAAGAGACAAAGTGGAACCTCAGAACATATGAAAGGCGGCAATTCAACACAAGCACAAGCATTTTATGTCCCGTTAACCTCAGTGCCTATTAAGCAAGCTTTTACACACAGCCTGTGATGTACATGTTTAATAAACTCAAAAGTTTTCCTGGTCAGATATGTGCAAAACCATTGTGTATACAAATATAACAACCTCTGACTGGTGTCTAATACATTTAGCAGATGTTATACAGTAGATTATGAAGCCATCTGCAGGAGAGTTGATTCATATCCCAGCTAGGCTATGCCTATCCAAGTAGGTTTTAAAAACAAAGAAAGGATTGTTTTCACATATACTTGAATAATTTCATATTAAGCAACTTATAAAAAATATGGCCAACACAGTAGTTGATCATTATTGCAAATACTTATTTTTCTAAAACCACTTTCTTTCTCACTTCTTTTTTGAAATAATCAGAGTTGAACTCAGTACATGTCTTCAGAGGAGCATCCTTCCCCCCTAGAACTCTTGGGAGTTTAATTCTCCTTTTTTCACATAGCCTTGACTTGCAGAATTGTACACAAACCAACGTACACACATGTACTCATACACACACACTGCACATAGCCTATGTTGTTCTTCTTACACAAATGAAATGTACAGTGGCACATGAATTCATTTCCGCTGGATCTCTTGGCTTTCCATGTTTTAACGGAAAGTAACTGGAAGTTGCATTTAAACTAATGCATACTCTTGATGGTGATCTATCACAACCGCCATCGATGCAATATCTCTTCTCCAAAAGTTATGTATACTTTTAATAATAAAAGAGAGGGAAGTATTTGGACAAGTGGCAGAAAATTGAAAGCCTTTCTTTAGAGACGCTGAAGATTTTGAATGGTACTTGTCAATAAAGCTACTGCTATTGTAGTCAGACCGGAGATGTGGGCCTCCACCCCGAAAAAGCTGTCTCAGAGATAGCAACCTCATTAAAATATGAATAACAAGTCAGCCATCATTGTAAAGAGAGAAAGGCGTCTTACTCTGCATCAAACTTTAACTATCATTTTAAAAAACGGCAACAGATCAAGATGATTCCCCACAAAACTCTGTTTCCCTCCCTTAATTTTTAGTGTATGTGCAATTTTAGCACTGGATGGATTCCTTGGAGCATTTTCAAATTCACAGTTCTGCTAATCATTCAAAGCATGTCTGACAGTTTAAAAAAGTAAGTTCATCTTCCCAGTAATTCAAAATGCTAAAAGAGGAAAGGAGGGGGCCAGTTAATATCTGTACGCACAAGTCCTGTGCGCACATAGAGACAAATCAGTTCCAGAATATTTTAGCCAATTTTAAGCCCCATGATGGAGAATTCATTACAGGCTACAGAGATGACACCTTCATAACAGTCAATTACAAGGAACCTCATGAGCCAGTTCATTACTATGTCTCTGCTAATCTTGTTGTAAATTTCTGCCGTGATAGAGACCAGAACCAGCCAAGAATGCAATTGGGTTGTGGACATGGGAGAAGAAAAATAAAAATGTAACTGCTGCAGATGGACATCTTCCAAAATCCTGAGTGCCAATCAAATCTTTTTTGAGCAGCATTTTCCATATAAGTGGGAGCCTTTCCCCTACGCACTCCTTCTTCCTCCCCTGTCCATGATGCCGTGCGCGTGAATTATGCACGCAGCCATGTATACACATGTGCAGCCACCCATGTACAGGAGGATGCCTGTAGAACTTGCTGCATGGCAATGGCGTGGATCGGGACCGTTGCTGAGCATTTGGAAACAAGTGTGTGTTTTTAAGTGTTTCATGCAGTTCAATAAGCTTTGTAATGGGCAAAAGTATTCCAATCGTTTCTGATATTTATTAAGAGTCAATATTTAAAAGTGAAAACAGAGAGGGGCTCCTCACCCCCCACTCCCTTGCTCTAGGCGAGAACAGGAGAAACATGAATGCAGAGCTACTCAAAAGCTGATGGGATATATAATTAGCTATTATGTTAATTGAATCCGCTGTGAGTTTGTTGTATGAGATTTCTTCATATAATATGCAAATGATCTCCAAGGTTTAGTTTTATTAGACAATATAATTAGAAATCCTTTTAAAAGAGAGAATTCTAATGAGGCATAATAAAGGTTGGAAAAATATGTTTGCTGTGTGGGGCTACCACCTGGGCTTGCTTAATTAAAAAAAAGTGTGTGAGAGAGACTTTTTTCCAACAGGGAAAAAAAATCAAAGAAAGTTTACAGCATTTACTGTTACACTTCAGAAAGAGAAGTGTACTACAAAGATGTGTGGTGGAGTGCGGAATGTTACTTTAGTTTGACCTGAAAATCCAGGTTTTCCTTGGTTTTGGCTTGGTTCCTCCTGTTTTTGCCTGGTTGGTTGCTCAAACATAAATCTGAAAACAAACTAAAATTAAAGTTCTCACATGCACAATTACAGCCAGATGTGCAGAGACAAACATTAGAGATGGAAATTCACAGAGAAAGCCCCATCGTTATCATAATTATTAAGAGACGTGATCCAAGCCAAGGAAGATACTTCAGCTTTGTGCTGTAACTAATCAGCGTAACTTCATTTACAGTAACGAATGCTGACATTCTAACATCTGGAATTAAAAGCCTTCCTTGAAAGTAAAGACA